TAGAGAATGTGTAAGCTATGAAAAATATATATAATACATATATTAAATAATAGCTACCTGGTTGATCCTGCCAGTAGTCATATGCTTGTCTCAAAGATTAAGCCATGCATGTCTAAGTTCAAGCGAAAATAAAGTGAAACCGCGAATGGCTCATTACATCAGTTATGGTTCCTTAGATCGCACTTACTACTTGGATAACTGTGGTAATTCTAGAGCTAATACATGCGCTGAGCTCCAACCCTCGTGGAAGGAGCGCTTTTATTAGATCAAAGCCAATCGGGCCTTCGGGTCCGTTACATTGGTGACTCTGAATAACTTTGCTGATCGCACGGTCTCGTACCGGCGACGTATCTTTCAAGTGTCTGCCTTATCAACTGTCGATGGTAGGTTATGCGCCTACCATGGTGGTAACGGGTAACGGGGAATCAGGGTTCGATTCCGGAGAGGGAGCCTGAGAAACGGCTACCACATCCAAGGAAGGCAGCAGGCGCGCAAATTACCCACTCCCAGCTCGGGGAGGTAGTGACGAAAAATAAACCGTCGTAACGTTGAAAGTAGCTCACCCTGCAATGCTATGATAAAATGAGTTAACTATGTATTTGCATATTCGCGTTTAATAATTTGGATAATGTCAAATAGAGCCATGTAGAAAAATGCATAGAACTTGCGTTATATAATTTAAAACATTTGTAACTATGATCACGTCGTGTGTCAGACGTAACAAACATCAGATCAAGAAAACGAATTCTGAATTGATCATTTTTGAATTATCAAAAATTCTTGATCTCTATTCTTGGACTAAATACGCAATTATTTACTCGGAGAAGTAACTTATCAAGACGAGGAGCCATTTAATCAATATATCAAGAACGAGAGCAATTGCTTATCGCCCCGTGACATCGAGGAGGGTGACCTATCGAGGAAGGTGACTTATCGAGGAAGGTGACTTATCGAGGAGGGTGACTTATCTAGGATGACTTATCGAGGAGGGTGACTTATCGTGGAGGGAGGAAGAGAGGTGTTTTACCAACTACTGGAGCAACGAAATAAGAGTTGTGACTTATCAAGGAGGGTGACTTATCGTGCGGTGTGACTTATCAAAAATAGGTACGTAACTTACAGAATTAGGGCCCGCATAATCGCTGGTGATAATGCCTCGCAAACTGAGTGTAAAAGAAAAGATGCGGAGAAAGAGGGAGAATGAAGAGTTCCGTCGAGCAGAAGTCGAAAAAAAATGCTGACGCCAAGAAATTACGCAGGATGGATGCAAACACAAGACATCAAGAGCAAGAAAGAAACACGGCAGCACACGCAGAGCGAAGGAAGGTTGACATGTACCGTGAGAAGAAAATGCACGGAATCGGAAGGAGCACGCTAGCCGCCGAGAAGACGAAGGTTATCGCGACGCGGAAAATGAACGGAATCGGAAGGAGCATGCTAGCCGCCGAGAAGACGGAACTTACAAACAGGCCGAACAACAGCAGAACACTATTAAAAAAGCAATTTTACGTCATAAGGTCCAGAAGGATTTTGATTTTCTGTGTAAGTCTTTCCATTGTGAGATACTTGATCAACCGAGATGGATATGTGGTTCGTGTGGTGGGTTATGGTATCGATCATCTGTTCATACAACAACAATAGAAGTCGTGCGCAAACTTCATCCTAAGAGAGCTTTCGCCCATCTGAAAGTCAACGGCAAGTACTTCTTATGTGGCACATGTCAAGATTCGCTGAAGAGTGGTGACGTGCCCCGGTTGTGTATGTCTAACGGGTTGTACTTTCCTCCAATTCCACATCAATTACAGAGCATGACTAGCTTAGAGGAACGTTTGGTTGCATTGAGGTTACCGTTTGCTCAGATTAGATCGTTAGGGAGCGACCGTCAGTACGGAATCCGAGGGGGAGTAGTAAACGTTCCAAATGACATGGACATAGTCGCCAAAGTTATTCCCCGTCGATTCGATGAGACGAGTACAGTGCAGGTTCAATTGAAACGCCGCATGTCGTATAAGCATCCATATATGTTCCAAACAATTCGACCACACAAAGTTTTTCATGCCGCAAATTATTTAGTACGTACAGAATTGTATAAAAAGGAAAAGGTATTTCTTTCGTCAGACTGGGCTAACAGTGTTTCAACCGACACAGTAGAATATATAGTAAATCCATACGATGCTATCCAAGGTGATACAGATATTAACAATATTCAAGATCTATCTATCAGTGCCAATGCCCAAACAGAAGATAATGATCCACCTTTAACAGAAACGCTTATTCAAGAAGACCAACTAATCATGGCAGTGGCACCTGGAGAAGGAATGCGCCCGTTGTCATTACTTATGGATCTCGACGCCAAAGAGTTATCTCTTCCATCCATTTACTGCGGCATCAAACGAAAATTGAATCCAGAAGCTAACTCATCATACACTGATATTGCAAAGTCCGAACTTCGTAGATTTGACCCACGTTGCAGAAGAGCAGACAAAATCCTGTCCAATTCATGTTACTAGGATAGAACAGACCTACGTTGTCGACTAAATGACCATGCCTGGGAGGTTGTCTTTCCTACAGATCCAAAGAAAATGGCATTTATTGGGCAAAATATTGCAAAATTTCGAAATTTTGATTTTTTTAGCAACTCTCATGAGCTGTAGGGTTGCGATCGCTCATGATATAGACGCCTATTTTGGTGTCCATGATTGCCGGGAACTCAGATCTGAGGGATATATTAAGATAGAGGAGAAAAGGCAAAATGTCCAAATTTTGCCAAAGTCCATATGTAGGGACCTTTGATCAGAAAAATACAACATGGGATTTCCCATAAGGAATTGGCCAAAAATGACGAAAAATGGCAAAAAATGGCAAAATTCTCACCACCCGCGGGAGGGCCCATATTTTGCACATATATTGGTACCCACTAACCCTTCTTTTTTAGTACAAAAAAGTTTCAACTTTTGCTTTGATATGCCTCGAAATTACCAAAAATGCCAATTTTTGGCAAATTTGGAGCACATGCCAAAGGTTTTTGATAGGTCACACCGACCCGAATCACCTATTTTTTGGGTCTACATAATATTCCAGAAAGAAATTGGCACATTTCAACACTTTAATTTTTCACCCTCAAAAGACCTAAGGGGTACCCCTTAGGTGTTTGAAACCTTGAAAAAATTGTTGTCGAATTTCGCGGGCAAATGGTGACCAAAATTTGCCTATGGCATCCAGAAGTTGTCTCCAGAGAAATGAGCCAGATGCAGTGTGACCCCGAGCTGGGGGTCATCTGTTTGTCTTTACAAATTTTCCAAAATTTCAACGTTTTCGGGACCGTTTCGAGTTGTACAAAGACCAAATTCCGGGGGATCCGTTCAAACGTGATTTTTTTATGTGCCCACATACCTAAAGAATTATTCCAGGAACGGGCGGTCCGAAATCAAACAATCTGTTGAAACCCCAGGGGTCAAATTAAACTCGATGGGCGTCATCATTTCTCCCCGATTTTGCTCAGTGTTTGGTGACCAACGTTTTTTTAAGCACGACTACTAGCCTTATCGCCATTGCATAATGTTGGTGGATAGTTGGGGGAAATTAGGTAGTGATTTCGACCCTATAGATGTATCACATGGTCACCTGGATAAGGGTGAGCCAGACAAAATGGTCTTAATTTACCGAGTAATCAATTTGTTACGCCATATTTTACTCTTTGTGTATGAGAGATGCATCCTTCCAGCGCAAGTGAATAAGGAGAATTCTCCCCGCCTTGGGATAGACCCACCCGGAACCCTAGACGTAGGCCTGTTCTATCCTAGTAACATGAATTGGACGTAATTTAACTTACAAATGGAAATAATGGACCATACAAGGTTCCTTAATAACGACATTGCCCGCAAGGTTTAGCTCACAGCTATGCCAGTTCTCAAGCGATTTCGCTGGTTGACCGCGCAATTTGTAGGGAATTTGAGTGCCTAAAAATAGTCCCTGCTTCACGTTTGCCAAATCTGCTTGCAACATGATGAAACCGTGCGTTAAATGAATTATGGCGGGCAGTGCTCTTGACGAGCATACATATGTATGTATGTAGTTATGTAGCTGGAATTTCATAATTCCTTGGGTTGGAGGGTTCCGGGTGGGTCTATCCCAAGGCGGGGAGAGTCCTCCTTACACTTTGCTACTATCCGGTAGCAAATTCTTACCAAAGCGGTGAGGTCATATATAGACACCGCCCGGTAGCGATTTTTTAGCGATTTTGTTCAGAGTGTACAAGATATCAGACGCAAGGTACAAGATATCAGATGCAAGATACAAGATTTATCTTGTGTAACGGAGTTTATCTTATCTTTTATCTTGTATCTGAACGTTTCTCAAACAGTATTTTGTATCTTGTACCTTGTATCTGGAGAATTTATGTCAACCATATTTTATTTGAAATACTAGTCAAGATACAAGATACTTTTTTTAGTGAAAAACCGGGAAACTTGCATATTTGGTAGTATTAAAACTTGGAATTATGAAGATTTAAAAACCTCAGTGTACAGCTTTGCCGAGCCGGATGCAAGGTTCTGTTGTACCAAACATGAGTCGAGAAAAATGGAACGAGTTCAATCATCGATAACTCGAGCGCTATCAGAGCTGGCCAAATTACTTGGAAGTCAAATTACAAATTACAATTACTCAGGAAAACTCAATTACTAATTACAAATTACAATTCCTTCTCTAAAAAAAATTCGCTTCAATTACAATTACAAATTACGTAATTGAATTACATCACAAATTACAATTACATTCGAGATGTTTTAATAAAAATTCATCATTTAATAGTCAAATAATTTCAATACTTGTTCACTTTTAACAATTTAAATGCGTTTACCTCAAAATTTCCACCTAGAAAAAATAATTTGCAAAGGCAAATTTTGAAAATTAGACTATTTATTTATTAGTATTTAATAATATTAGACTTTAGGTGACCTTAAGGTCACAGAATTATTTTACATTTTTTACTTTACTAATCATTGCCTGTAAAATGATACTCCACATGGTGGGGGCCATGAGGACTTCAGATTTTAGGAGTCCCCCTCCCTACAGGTGTCCTTATTTTTAAACGTTTTCAAATTTTAGCCGCAGATGTGATGAGTTTGTACGGTGTAGGAAGTTTGACATTTAGGATCGGAGCCTCAAATTTCTCTTCAAATTTCTCTCCCATGTAATCAAGTAAATCTGTTCATCTTGGTGCGTTTCATACAAATTGAAGATTTTATTGCATTTAAAAATCAATAATTTTTGTTTACTTGAACAAAGTTAGGAGGTTGAAATTTTGATTTTTTTTCTATGAGAAAATATATGGAATACATGGAAGAAGAGAAAGTTGAGACATAGAATTTCAAATTCAAAATCCGCATACAGTGGAACGTTAAAGGACATTTCATTAGTAAAAGTGACGAGTTTTCAGTAGCCGTGCACACGGAGGCCGGCTGAAATTCAACTGGAACGTAAAGTGAAACTGTATTTATAACGATCGATACATGGTTTTCCATTAACTGACCTATATTTATCAATATTTGCATACATTCAGTTCAGAATAGAGAGAAACCGCACGGAGAGGAAATGAAGATTTTCTGGGGCCTCACAATATTAGAGACGAGGTGGCCGAGTGGTTAAGGCGTTGGACTGCTAATCCAATGTGCTCTGCACGCGTGGGTTCGAATCCCATCCTCGTCGAATTAATTTTTGCCAGTGCACATTAAAGCTAAATTAATTATAACTTGCTGATTTTCTGACCAATGTATCCAGTCCTAACATTTGAGCATAAACATAAACTTTACTAACGGCGCGACTCCACTAATTCCATCAATTACATTACTCGGTTAAATGTGAAAATAAATGTGAAACACAATGTGTACTTATTATGTCATACATATTATTATAATATGTATAAACGACATAATATTATTATGTCGTTTTTACTTTGCCCATTTGCCAAATTGTATTTTGCACGATGAGGCAACATGAAAATTCCCACGCTCAAAACTCCAATTTCCAACATCAACCGGAACATTTGTCAAATCCATGTGCTTTTGTAAATTAGTTGCATTTACATGTTTTGAAACAATAAATTATCTTTGAACACCAATTTCTGTGGATGACTACCTTCATTCGGTGTATAGCACGTCGGACGTGCCTCTTCAGGTCTCAGGACATGGGGGAAATATTTACTGTCGGTAAGGGACCATTCAAGTTTTAAAGCTGTCGTAATTTCTATTTTATAATTTTTAGCATGTTTTGTTCTCGTTCTAGTATTACGTATAGATTTGTATTAGTTATAGTACCAGGGATTTACAATTTTTTTAAACCCAGTCAAATCCATCATGTTAATTGTGGTTCTATATTTACAGAATGATATTGTTTCTGAGATGACATGTCTTCGCTAAAACGAGCATGAAGATGCAACATTTCTTGATTCAGGACACCAAGTCGTCCCTGGCCGGAAATGTAACGGGTACTTATTAATTATTTAAGATGATGAGCTTGGACAAGAGCGAAGCGGTCAGATTTCGGATGGCGAGTCATTTATTATTATTGACAAATCAGGCCTTGTTTGTTTTTACAATTTTAAATTCAATGAACGAAGTTTGTAGCATTTCACATTGAAATTTAGTGTACCCAAAAACGGTGCACATTTAAGAAATTTTTGTCCTTGCCTTTTTGCAGGCCTTTACCTTAACTTGAATGTCTTTTCATCCATCGTTGACTTTGATGAGAAAATCGGCCCTTCGTCACTTCAAAAGGAAGTCTTGGATTTTATCAACAATTTAGAAGTCATTGTGGCAATAGCTCGGATTTAACAAAGATTGATGGAAAACTGAAGGGACCTTGTACCATTGACAATCTGCCACCACGGGAGCCCTGTTTGCTTTGCAAGGTTGGTGAAAATAAATATCAACCAATGCCTCGGTTTCAACGTTCCAACAATCTTAAATTACACACTATTTCTAATTTATGTAGCGAAATGTCGAAAAGACCTGGACCCTTGTGTGTGAGAAGGAGTGATGCTTTGGGTGCAACAATCTTTTGTGGGACATGGTAAAGCCTGTTTACTGACATACGTATTGGGTTAAAAATTTTCATGTTATGCATAAAAAATAGTTAATTGTATTTGCTGTTATATAATTTTTAGAACAATCCACAGTTGCTGTTAAATTATGTTAAATTTTGCCAGTATATCGGATAATTTCTAATAAATTCACTTCGTCCTTATCAATTTAAATCATTCCAAATATCTTAAGATGCATGGACTTCAGCCATATTCGAAACCCTAGGGGGATGTGAAAGGTAAAGTGACCGGTGTATCTCCACAATTCAACATTAATATGCTATAAATAACTAAAAATCCTTGCATAATATGTAATATTATGTACCTTTTTTTATACGAGTTATATTTTTTTTAATATGGAATTATTGAAACAAAGAAAAATATTAAACTCTTCTAGACTCGCTGCGTCTTTTGTATAGTGACCTCCTTGAACTCATTATGGTTCTCGACGGCATCTCCAGCCAATTTACAGTAGCTCCCATCCCTCCCCGTTCTCCAAATCCATTTTAGTATCTCTTCAAAGAATCATCAGTCAGATAAGTTAAGATCAATATCATATTGCGCATATAAATACAAATTTATATATAAATACACATGTATGACCTCGTACCCGTGACCCTAGTGTAGACACCAGGGCGTTCTGGTCTAGCACACCCAATTCCCCAACTCACAATCCCAATTTGAGTGTGCTTTTTCAACTTTGAGTTCGATTCAAAGAAAAGTGGTCCGCCTGTAGAACCGAAATGAATTTTTTTTTGATAATTAATGGAAAAATGAACTCAAAGTGAAAATAACCTGAGTCCCCTTGACACGCATCCGTCCCTGGCGATGCCGCACATAACATGCGTTTCGTAATTTTGGAATATTTTGATTTACAGTCTTCATTGCTTAGCACTGAGACGGACGCTTTTCGCAGGGTCGCGGATAATTCGCCATCCTCCTTGGTATAACCCCATCCTTGGAGTTAAACATACTAAATAATTAACGATTTGGATACCCTAGTAGTTAGTACGAAGTACCCGTTACTGTTGCTGAGACACCCACGTAACCCCCCTTCTCAATGTCGTCCACTGAGGGTAAACAGACGGGGGCAGTCTTGGTCAGATCAACCCTCCTCTCCAGCTTTATCAGAGCAGCGTCGTAGTCCAAACTGGCAGAATAGTTTCGATGTGCGATGATTTGCAGGACGGAATATCGATCTGGAAGAAACCCTTCGTGGTCAACTTCAGTCTTGTCGGCGTTTAGGATAACTTCCAAGTTGTACGGGGTTCGTCCAACGACACAGTGGGCGGCTGACAGAATTTGTTATAATTTAGATTAACTTGAATTGTAATAGACCGTTACAAGGAGTTAACCAAGGGGTGAAAGCAGTGTGTCACATGTCAAAATGAATATCATATTGTTTTTGCCCGTCGAAAATCTGTTATAATTGAAGTTTGAAGTGTTTTCGACATTTGTGACATGCATAGGTATCAAATTTAACATTTGACGACCTTTCTGTGACCTTGAGGTCAAAATGAAGGTCGCTATTGAATTCGGGGTTAAATTTCCTATTAAATTGACGCATATATGCAATTTGACCCTTGCGTAAACTTTTTTGATCTTGAGGGGTGTGACCTGTGGCGCCCAAATTCTAATCAGGTCTTCCCCTTGAAGTAAGGAACTCACGTTCAAAATTTTAAGACGGACGGACATAATAATCTTATAAATAGCTTTCACCCCTTAATAAATTGTGTAAGTGTGACTTTGAATCTACAATATATTTACCTGTTAAAACGTAACGATCTGCAAGGTAAACGATAACATAATGCAATGGAGATTGGAGATGTAAATATTCTCTTATGATTTTATACTAATTTGGGTTACCATTGATTAGCGAGCCCCCACAAAAGGGTACGGATTCGTTCGTCCTGACCAACCCCGTCTGCCATGGAACTTCCCCCTGCATGGAAAACCAGGACATTTTCATGGAATTTCGTCTTTTTGTTGGCTTGTCGTTATGACCTGCTGAGTTTCCGTCCCATTGACAACCTTCGTTCCAATCTTGTTGATCCCACAAGAACAAGGGGACGGCTCCACTGCTGAGACCCCACTGTTTACACCATCCGTGATGTGGTCATCATCGTCAGCATTGTTGAGAAGAACGAGACTGCAGCGAAATCCGACGCCTGGGAAAAAGGCCGATGTGGAGAACCGCATCGTCATTTTCCCCACCAAAATTACTTCTCGTGGTCCATGTTTTCCACAATAACTGGAAATCATAGGTCAAACGTTACTACATATTTATTTCTCAATTAAACATTTTATAGTACTGATTTTGGATAGCTGCCCCATCACCAACGAGGACGTGGTCCAGGCACAAAAATTCTGTTAGGTGAAAGTTTGGACAACTTAATTTTGCTCGACGTCCGGGGAACTGCACAACACATAAAATTGAGCTGTATAGTTTTAAGAAATCTTATGAAAACAATTTAATAGAGTAACCATGAAATTCCACTCGCAAATGTGTGAATTTGGGTAGAACTGTTTTTTACTGAAGTTGACGCTTTCTACCAAAACTTCCTCATCTCCGAGTAACTCGTGCGAAGTGCCACACGGCATAACTATAGTGTTAATAAGATACATTTCGACATATATAGTTTGCGCGTAATTAAAGGATACATAAATTGGTCGACTACTTTTTGGCGTGGGCCGCTCCGGTTGACGAACTAAATGGGCGATTGAATTGTTAGTGAGAAAGTGGAAAGCAGCACTGCCCCATGGCGTCCCTTCCTCATTATCAGTACTGCTTCGTGCCCCTTTTACGCAGATGATGGCAAACGTGACGAAAAGTGAAAACCGTGATCCCCACATTTTCAAAATGTTGGGGAAATAGATAAAAAGCACGAGAGAATCCAGTGGCGTGCCGGATTAAAAAAAGTTGATAGATTAGTTCATCGTATTAGCCCAATTGGCCATAATCAGAACGGATTTTGATACTTGGATTTGATAAGGAGGTCACCAGAATGGAAATGAGCCATCTGTCACCTTCACCATTACCATCAAATGGATGGAATATACACACTTCATGAATTAGAGATGAGGTCGAAAGGGAAATCATCCCATCCTAATGGTTCGTAATATGGATGAGGCTCTTGATGACGGAAGAGGATAACATGGTATCATCTTAAAACTTATGACCTGGCATGGTTAAGCTGGAAATTTAGATTTTTATGTAGTTCCCATACACACAAAAAATCCAGTACAATTTATTAAGTTGTAAGTTAGTTACAAGTTAAGTTTTTTTCTACCTCATACATGTTTTGGACACGTATTCACATATGTACATACATGTATCTAATAATAGATACATGGGACAGCCATGGACATATAACTTATAACTTAAAATTATGACGTATAACTTATTTTATAAGTTATAAGTCATAGAAACGCCATAAGGCGACGTATATTTATAATTATAAGTTAAGTTATACGTCATAATTTTAAGTTATAAGTTATATGTCCATGGCTGCCCCATGTATCTAATACCTAATGCATGCATATTTAATACACGAAGGGAATGATAGCTTTCCTCTCACGGGGGTACTTGGTCCCAAACTTGGCATGATACCACTTGTGCGCAAATCTTGCTCGGAAAACGAGGAACACGGTGGAGAAGATTGCAAACATTACCTACGTATCAATCTGCTATTAGTATTGTCCTTTAGTTAAATATGTATGTATCTATTTCTACCCTCACCTGAGGACCTCCCCCGCCCGTCACCAATGCGAAACCCCACCACTCCAAACACTCCCCAAAGTAATTCGGGCATGAAACGTATTCAAAGAGGGACCCCTGCGGAATTTGGTAACCTTTTCCTCGGGCACGAAGTTGCGTCAGAATCCAGTCATGCCGGTTGTTCACCCAGGCTCCCAGGATGCTCATGCCAATTGCCACAAAAGTGAGGAAGGATACGTCAAGAGGCTTGTGAACGTTGGCGAGATGATGGGTCTGGGCAAAGGTGTGTACCGTGGTGATGGTCAGCATACTGACGAAGAACCAGAGCGGGGAGGGAGTCGCATGGTCAGATATTTTGGAGGGGTAGATCACCGAGCTAAAGATCAAGTTTACAAAAATTGTGCACTGTTACATAGAAATCTGGTGTTGATTTCTCGGTATTAAAAATTATACCCGTCTCGTAAAAATTGTCTACCAATATAGTAAAACTTTAATACCGAGCTATTACTAAGCGGTATTACTCATCAATACCACTTTGGTATGTATAGTCATATTTGAATACCGCTTGGTATTTAATACTGGATTTCTCAGAGTGTGAACGATGTGTTTGTCGAATAAAAGCAAGCTTAAAGGCTCGTTTACCGATTAAAATAATGAATATAGTAGATCGCCAGTCCAGCAAGATTTGTAAGGTTGAACAGATATGGCGTCGGGGTGAAGAAAATTACCACCCAGGGCACGATTACGGTTGGAAGGAAGCCAAACTAAAAAAATTATAGGGACAACATTTTTGTCTGTACATTGCTAAAAAATCATTAGTGACATTTATCGATACCCACGCACCCTCCAAGTGAACCTCGAACTGATCGGATACTCCCAAAATTTCCTGGATGGTGATAACCCTTTCGATCCCTCGTTACCACTGGTCGAAACTGTGGCCTTTCCATACGCCACTGTTCCCACCAAGTTCCACACAATGGTGAATAAAATCCCGCCTGCCATGGCCCATGAGAAATTTGTCACAATTTCCTGGTCCGTCTTAGCAAGCAGCAGATCGTAGGCGAAGGACAACGGAGTTTTGTCCAGGAGTCTAATTTGCTCCATGATTTGTTGTGTTGGAGCCCTTGGAGCTGACCTTTTGTCTCGAACGAAGTATGGACGAACGAAGTTTGCTTAGATTTGGGCTCATGCACAAGTCCAAACTTATTGCACAACGTGGTGTGGGTTTGAAATAAGTATGCAATATTTTTATGCTGTTATATATGCTAAAAAACGGTATCAACAGTACTTAAAACTAATTAAAAATATACTTGTCCTTATACTTTCTTTGTTTATCGAGCAAAAATGGTTTTCTCAATCCGACTCAAACTGAAAACCTGAGCTTACCGGTTAGTCAAGACACAAAATTTTCATAACTGAAGGTCCCGATGCTTATCTACTAATTCAGCTAAGCACAAAACTAGTCAATAAAAATTGCTCAACATTTTGTCAACCTTTAATCTTTAGATGTTGATAAGCGTTTAGTTTGTAGCAAACTTTACAGAAAAATCATACACCTATTTCATACCCACAAGTCGAGTAGAGTAATCCTTTATTCAGCTCGCAACCAAATATGTAAACGGTTTCCAATTCTCACACCGCTTTGTGCACCACGTTTGGACTTTCTGTACCTGAAACTGCAGCGACTTAATTAATAAATAACAATAAACGTGTTTTCTATGTGCGTGTAAATACCCGGAGGATCGTTAAAAAATTAACTTCTGACTGACTGTTTATATACTCAATTTCGGGGCAGAGTGCAAGTGATCAAGGTCATTGGTTATCAGCTTATACGAGCATCATCTTATCCACGAAAGTATATGTACAGTGACTAGACAAATTGTGACAAAATTAGTTACCACGAGTGAGCATGACAGTGCATTATTATATATATATAAGCTAATCAACATATGTATGCAGAAGGTCCAAAAGGTAATAATAACACCGTGTGAATTTCTCCGCAGTATATTTATACTATAACACGTATGCATGTAAGTACTTGCGTAACGGAAAAAGGTAAAGCTTCTATTTGCGATGACTTTGCCCTCTGTCCGTCTGCGTCAACTTATTCCATTTTCAGATTTCGACATCTAATTTTGAAAATAAACGTTCGGAAGCGGGGTCAATGGGAGATCCATGAAGGAGAAAAATAATCTGGAGCCATGGGTTTAAGTTTCTACTTTTCTCAAAATTTTGTACTTTGCTTCGTCTCCGATTTACGAGTATGTATGTATGATCATGGTGCCTCTCATGACCTCGATGACTGGTAAACTCAAATTGACCAAGTTACCAAGCTATGTATATAAGTACACCTAGGTCGTAGCAAACTTGCATGTAAATACGCAAGGCAGAATTTTCATCACTTTGCTTCAACTACTTTATTATATCTGTTGCTGGAGTTTATTATAAGTGGGAAATGCGTTTGGCAGAATGATAAAAAGATTTTCCCCAATTTTTGTAGAAGATTATCTACTGTCATAATATTCCATTTAACACTCAAATTTGTATTTATTTTATCATGCACTATTATGATTTGCGTGCACTGCTCAGTTAAAATTTCTCACGGAATTTGGAATATAAAATTGGGTAGGAACTGTGAAGAAGTTTTGGGTTTACACGCGTCTCATGTTTTACTTTAGAGACCAAATTCGCACGATATTGCAGCTGTGAGGATGCAAATTACATAAATAAGAATTCACATATCCACCCACCGATGCTAAGAAGCAAAAATTGTTATACCACGCAAAGCTTCTGTTACTCTGCCTCTGGTATGGTCCTTTATATGAAATTGTGTTGGTTAGATAAGAAAACTGAGACATAACATACTCCTGTTTTTTTACCATACGATCCTCGACGTCATCACTCTCATTACTAGTAGCATTGCAGTGGTGACGTCGAGGGTCGTATGGTAAATAAACCGACTGTAGTCTAGAATTTCCTACAAGCTGAAAGTTTGAGTTTTGTAACACTGTAACAGTACGAGGAGGAGAACTATATTGTATTGTTACAATGTGAACTCTCCCCTGGAGCCACTATATAATTATGTTTATCATTCTGTCATAAATTAAATTAAGCCAAAGTACGTAATGATTTTTGGGATTTAATAAGGATAATGATGGCTAAATGACAGGACGCACAAATATAACATTTACTCTTGTTCTATCAAAGGTGGAAACTGCTTAATTAACATTAACATTAATATGTATGCAAAAACCCAAAAACCCAATCCAGCTTATGAAATACCCATCCCTTATTAAATTGTGTTATGGTTTTAGGTGTGTAAATAAATATGCAAGTGGGAATTCCAGTATGTTTATAAAGCCTTTAGTTTTTATTGTTTTATAGAATTTTAACAATTCAATTAGAAAGTTGTGATAATTTAGCAAGTCGGAAATTTAGATTTCTCAACTTCTTTTCATCATTTCAATTGCCCCATCGACTCTTGACCTTTTCCCCATACGTGTTCATCACGTTGCCCTGTTTCTTCTTGCAGCACGAGTGGCAGAAGTTCTGTCGGCAGCAGGAGTACGACGCCGAGAACATCTTGTCCCACTGCAGTGACGATGAAGACGCTGAAGTCGACGCCTTGGGCTGGGCCAGGGCATTGAGACCTGTCTGGAATGCCCACATTCCCATGAGAAGACCACCCTTCTTAGCCTTGGAATCGGGGTCGGAGTTCATCCTTGCAACCTGAGGGGAGAGAGGTTATCAGATTTGTTGGGTACTTTCCATGATAAGCATCTTACCTGATGGATTTACTAGACAACAGTTGTATAATACCCTTGAAGAGGAATACCTGAATTTTGGACTGAATTGCTTGATGAGTAAAAGCGATAGAACAGCGTAGGTAATAAGGCAGTCAATAAGTTATTGCGTATTGTTGACTTACCAGCTTCCTTGTTTGCATTTCTTTCAATATATAAGTTCCTAAAATCCGAGTAGAAGCGTTCCAGGAAAAAAACGGGACGCATAACAAACTTGGCATTTAATGCTTGTTATGCATAATATTTGTTATTCATTCATATGGAGACACGCGGTAATAAATAGATCCCAGGAAGCGATTGGAAGGTGATACTTAATTAAACAGCTTCTGTTCTGATGTTTGTGGATCAAATGGTCAAGCAGGCATCAATTGGAATCATTTATTGGTTCATATTATTGAATAAATAATGAAGGAAAGAGACTGAGAATAATTATGTTTGGTTTGACAAGTGCTTTTTAATAACGGGGAAGGAATCAATCATGTATCTCCGTGTTGGACAGGTGGTAGGGTCTCATCATCTCCGCACACACTACTGCCAGCCAATTAATATGCAGTGAGACGACTGATCACTCAGTATTTGCTTTACTCACCCAGTTTTTCTAACCGGGAACATCTGTTGTTCTTCTTCTTTTTTCCACCCACGAACAATCAAGAACAAGCACATGCATATTTCCAATGACTAATATGCATACATTGCTTAAAAGTATTTGCCACTGGACATAAGCATGAATGGAGCGTATGTAAAGGTGCTAATTAATGATGCCATTCGTAGAAAAAAAGTACGCGATGAAATGAATCATGAATTCGCGTGGGTGGTTTTTCGGTTAGGAAATAAAGTATATCGCAACAGTGATGGGGAAGAATTGCAAATTTACTACGTTAAAATGTGCATGATTACATAGTTTACACAAGAAGAATAATAACAATCCGTGCTGCTGTCTCAAATAACGTGTTGACCCAGCTTTTTTCTGCTACAATATTTCATTTCATAATAATTTTGGTATTATAAACTATGATGAATTTAATAACAACCAGGATGAAAATTGCACATGAAACTTGCATACATACTCTAAATGGATACTTTTAGTAGGTGTCCAAGTACAAAATACACTGTGCAAAAAACGTGTGTGTTGATTGTATGGTCATGCATCAAAATTACTTATGTCCCCGTTTCCATCCTTACCCCTTCATATACATATGAATCATCATTTTCTACTATTTTAGAATAAAGTGCATAGCATACAATTAGTAATTTTTGACTATTCTAAACTTTCCTAAAAACTACGGCTTGCTCGCTTTGTTTTTTTCTAATGTAATTGAGACAGGCTGATAAAAGTGTGTGGTGATTTTTTTTACTAGTCTAAAAATAATAGTGTTTTTTTTTCTTCTCATACAAATTTTGTATCACGAATGACGATGATATCCACGCGCCGTTTATGTTTTTTTTTGATCGTTTGTTGGTAGTAATGAATGTTGAGGTCTGGTCACCTTAGTTTGGAAGCTGTTCCTCCAACGGGCGTCTCATCTCACCTCGATAACCACCACTACTCTTATTTCGTTGCTGTTGTCGTGGGCGTAAGGAATTTCTGGCCTGGAGTGCCTCCCATAATCTCGCTTCCGCTAAAATATCCCGAGCCACGTCCTCCATCCCGGAATCAGAATCAGAATCGACGACGCTTCCTCGGTCACCACCTTCCGAGTAGTCGACGTAGTCACGGTTGAATCCACCGCCACCACCATTCCGTTTCCTGCCACATCCGGTGAAAGCATTGCAAAAGGTACGTTTAGCCCGTGGTGGGGAAGGGTTGTTGTTCGATGATGGCTCCCCGTCCTCCTCGATGCCCTGAAAAGTAGAATAATGTCATGAAATGATGGGGAGTTTGAGACAACTTTTGTGCTGAACTTTACCCTTTTCTGAATGGGGGTGGCCACTGCGGAAAGGATCACAAAGACGAGGAGGGTGAGTACCAAGCCGAATGCCGACTTATCCATGTTATGTTATCCGGGTGATTGTGGTGATATATCTCTAAAAGAAGAAAAACCAATGGCACGTGTACAGTAAATAAATCAGTTTGTGGTGACAGAAGGCTCATTTATGGCGTAAATTTCTCCCCGTTATAAGTTTTAGGGTGACGTGACCAGTGGTATGGTGACACCACACCGCTTGACGTTGTGGACCCCTAGGAGATCAACCACTCAACAGGGCTGGTGGGGAGCCGTCATGAACAGGAGAGGAATAAAACTTGACGCTGTGATTGGTAACAAACAACAAGAAACCGCAAAACTAACCTTTACCAATTGCACAATTTCTCAAATTGAATAAGTAGATGAACTGACTTATTAATTTTGAATCGGCAAATATTCCTGATTTCTGGTCAGAGTTACATAGATTCAATTAAGCGAGTAATCATAACATTTGTTTCATGTGGGTTTGGCAGGAACCAGAGCAACGAGTGGTGTAAATGGTGGAAACAAAACTCATGGAAATTGTGAGACTCTGCATAAGTAGAGTAAACAAGGTGGAGAAAGGGGAAAGTAACGCTTGGGAAATTGCAACAGGTGCGGGCAAGGATCATCGTCTGTGTTTACAGTAGTTCTACATATGCATGGTCAAATATCAATCAGTATAATAAGTAGCAATTCATATAGTCTGTTCACTTTTTCCATGTAAAAAGTAAAATGCCAGCCAAACTGTGATGTAGAAATGTGTATGCTAAATATGCTTATGTGCAAGTTGATAACATTGAATTCTGAGAGAAACCCTCAAAATCTGGGGTCTGGTGGTGAAAGAGACCCAGGGACGATCTCATTACCGCACACGTACGATTATTTATTTTTATAATAAGCACATCATCGTTTATGTTGTCAAATATTTTGTGGATTCTGCAAACTCTGTAGAAGAATTGGGAACTCTCTATTCCTAAATATTCAAGCTATGCATCGCACTTTGGACCCACACAAGCCACGTATGTATATTTGGGTATGTAGGCATCACCTCACAATAATAACATCTCACCACAAATGGGTGACATTGAGATGAACTGACTGCAATACATGTGTTAAGGCCTCACATTGATGATGAATGACGTGAAAGTGACCGTATGTGACGTACAAGGATAAAAACAACGTCCCTGGAAGGGGGCAGGGTGAGAATGTGAAGGACTTTTTATTTGGATTATTACTCGCCTTGATTATGTATGCATGGGAGAAAGCTAGGAATATATATGAAAAGATGTCTGATTTTCTGTATTATTTAACATTTTCACACTCTAATGAAGCAGCAGTCGGCTAACTGCGTAGAGGGAAGGTGTATAAGCATGCAATTTGGTGGGCGTTTGGTTGACTCGGTTAATTCGAAATTGGTCGAGCAGAAAGAAGGAGATGTGGATTTTTGCAATTACGAGTCCGTATTAAAAGTCCTTTCATCTCGGGGAGGAAAGAGCATGAGTGTTAATTCGGATAAAAAAGATGTCACATACCGTGACACTTACCTACAAAATCGCCACCTTTAATACCATGCATCGCGTTATTTACTCGACAAGTGAGGCAACCACCCGTTCTATTCGCACCGTTGATTCGACCTCTTCATTTTGAAAAGAAGACGGTATATGAAGAGTGAAAGGAAAGCATGACATGTGTAAATTTTGTCTATTATTTGACTGAATTGGGAGAGGTGAAAGGTGAAACATTACTTATGAAGAATGAGAATATCGCAACTTGCCCCAAAGCAGGTTGTACGAGTGAGTATCGATTCTTATCAATCAGGGCGAACAAGATGACATAATTTACGATGCCTTTAACGCCATGATGGCCCATCGTCGCATTTGGGCCAGGTCAGAAATGGCTATGAGTATGACGCTGACAAACGAATTGAAAGTTGGTCCAAATCAAAACTTCACAGAATATAGTCATGAAAAATGATATCAAATCCGTTCGTGGTTGTAAAATGAGTACCAGGATTTTTTATATGGTTCGTATAAAAGTTTAATTTTACTCACCTTGTCAAGCAGTAAAGCTACCGAGTGGGTTCACGGTTGATGTTGATGGATGGGAAGAGATGAGAAACCGCTCAGTTGTTCTGCGAGATGATTATGATGGGATTATTCCCCTGAAAAGTGGATCGTGTCTTAGGATTAGTCCAGTAAGTGGATGGATGACGATGGGTGGTGGTGATGGGTGCGTCCTGCAGCTCGTAGAGATCAGTTCTAAGTGAAAATCGTCGTTTTTCCTGCTTTTCGTCTCCCTTTCCCCTCAACTGGTGTCACACTTTTCTGCTCTGCTCTTTCCTAGTCTGACTCGCTCTGCTCAATCGGACTTTCTCCAGGGGAGGCAGCCCGTATTTATACGCACCCCACCAAGAAGAGAAAGCCATCAGCCACCCACCACTCTGACACATTCGCTTCCCTCCGCACACACGCTCCTTCATTTTTACCCCCTTAATGAAGCAATAACATTAACACACCGCAATAATAATCACCCACCCACCCGCTGGCATAGGGCAAGGAGCAAAAGAGCAAGTTGCATATCGGATCAGTATGGCTAACTCCGCTTCAAGAATTCACAGGAATTGCCAAACCGCAATATGTTTCAAGACTGCTTTGATCAATGTAAATTTAATTTATTAAGGATAAACTAGGTACATAGGAATTATGATCCACTTATACTATCGGCTAAAATATGGGTTAAATACCGCTAATACGTTGTGGTTAATGGAAAGGTAACACGTCAAATCTATTTTTATAACTAAAATGTGAAGCAATTTAGGTTTCAAGGGTTAAGAGATTCGTTTTTGATTTTAAAGAGTAAATTAATACTCAGGGTGACAACGGATAATATATATTTCTTAGCGATTTTATCAAGTTAAACAGTAAAATACTTCGTAATAATTAGTTACATGAGAAAATGAGGTTGCTAACATCGACTAAACACTGCGTGGGTAACGTTAAATCTTTAACAATAATAATAGTCAAGAAACAACATGATAAGAATAAGTCATCGTCCAATAAAGTATAAACATGAGTTTTACACACGGGCCATTGCTTCCTCATAGAAAATATTGCTTCTCACAGGACTAGCAGAAATATTATCGAGATTGCGATCATCGTTATTTTTACTACTACCGGCACAATTGGCGTAACGCGGATTATTTTCGTCTTCTGCGGAAGGGATCACCGAGTTTTCAGATCTAGTCATAATCATATTCGAGTACCTAACACTATCTTCATTATCACCACCAGCAGCGCTGGTCATGAACCGTTGACTGACGTGATGATAGCTTGAAGAGATTGAAGAAGAGAGAGATGCATGATCAGTAGTATTGTTTTCGATTTCAATGTTCGGGTAGAGAGAGCTGGTGTCATGGTTTGGGGGGAGAGAATCTTCGGCATGTTCCAGAATTCCGGAGGATTGAATTTCAAGACAGTGAGAGAGGGATCGTTGACTGGTGTTAACAGAGCTTACATTGCTAGAAATACAAGAAAATAGTTAGCTTATATGTACTTTTGGTGCATTTTATCGTTCGAGAAACTGTCAAACAGAATGTTCTCAGAGCATGTATAGCAGAGAAATAATTGGCTATGTATAGAAGTCAGGCTTACGATTCATTATATACAACAACGAAATAATTTGAAGCACCAGCGCAACTGAGTGAGCGAGGTCAAGTGCAAGATTGATGTGGATGCGTCCTGTCGTTTCATAAATAATAATAACAGAACAATGCAGAATAATGCAGCAAATAAATAAATAAATGCAAAGTGCATGTTTAACATGGCTTCATCTTACCTGAGATATGACATATTATACGGCGGAGGTGGTTCATGCCGTCCCGGTGCGCTAGGTTCTGGACTCCATATGGCCGAGCTGTTTGGCGACGTTAAAGGAGTAGCTGACGATACAGGGCGACTTGTTGACAATCTGGTCCGGCTTGACCAGGGTGTTGCAGAAGACGATGAAAAGCTATTATTCACGTTCACCTGACTCTTGACTCGTTCCACGACAGCTTTCGTATTCTCATAACCAGAATATCTAACACAACTTATGGGATCACCAGGCGGGGGTGGTTCCGGAACTTCGCCGGCAAGTTCCCGACTCCCTTCGAAAATGGTTGCAGTTGAAGAAACAAGTTTAAGATGAGTCTCTGATAGTTTTGCAAGGGCAGACTTTACGACGACCAGTTTGACGGCTTCTTGCTCTCTGGATGTGGCGCATGCTGGAAGATGAATGAAATAATAGTAAATAACAAGTAATAATTGAAGAGTTTTATAGAATTAATTAATTACCTTCCATATGCGCCCGTTCAGCTCCCCTTTCAGCTTCTGCGAGTTGAGTTTGCAAAGCACTAAAATCTCCAGACCGTCTCGTATCACTACCATTTCCGTTTGTTTGAATCCGATTTTGGGCACGCAAGACCTGGAAATGAAGTACATTTTGATAACAAAAATGCATACTTATTATATAATATAGCATGATTTATTTCCACTACATACCTGTCGCCTCAATTTGATCCTCTTTTCCTCCGCTTCATGCAACTTCCTTTGGATCAAGTCACATCTTCTCTCTCCCTCCAAGACTAGACCCATCTCCTTCCGAAAGGATTTATAAGCCAGAGCTAGATGTGCAAGGGCTGACGTGTAAAGACTGCTCAATTCCGCAATATTAGAACAAACGTCGCTTAGTGCTCTATTCTCCGTGGACGCCCAGGCGGCAATGTCGTTGAATAAAGTTTTCTGAGTGAATGCGGCTGCCATGAGGGCTGACTGGGCTTCTCTAGCTGGAAGATTTAAATGTAAGCTCTCTCACTCTGTGCATCATACTCAAACAATCAGTCTATTTCAATAGTTTCATTCTAATATCGGTTGCTACCTTGCCAGAGGAGGACGTGAAGTGGTCCGTGTGCCTTTGCCATAGATCGCAACCGAGCACCGCTTCTAAAAAAACATAAAAAAATGAAATTATTTTCATGGTCAAACAAACTAGTCATTACAAATACTTTTGGACAACACTTTACCTGCGAACTGTCATTCCAACCGTTGCTTTTTCCATTATGATTTATTTATTTCTTGGTTTGAGATTGCTACAGTAATAAGTCTAAGGTGATAAGTCCTTCTTAGTTTCTCGTTTAAACCAGTGACCAACTTGATTCTTATTATTATTGTTCTTGATCCAGTCGTGCTAGACAATTTGCATGCATCCAAAGTATTATAGTTGCTGCATTTACATAGAAATGAAGCATCCACGGCGGATTCTCAATTACGTGACGGATGATTTATGCTGATTGGGACTAATTGAATGTTGACATCTGAGCTGATGTGCATCTAATCTATCCAGAAATGACAGTACTGGTGGGAGTCGTCGATCGGTGCATGCAGTTAGCTCCTCGACAAAAAGAATCAGCGATCAGACAAGGTCGACGGTGGTTACGTATTCTCACATTGAGCGAATTCCTTATGACGGTGATGTGATGATTCTGGATCAACGGACAATGGAACAAGATGACGAGACGGCTCGTGGCGTTTTTTATGTAAATGGGGTTTGCTTAACGTGCTTAAGCGTTCTTCTTTCCTGAGATCTTAATTTGGTTCTTCTTGACGTAGACTAACTGGCAAGGACTTTACTTATTAAGTAAAGGGAGCCTTATTCTGGAAAGAATGCGACAAAACAAATTAGAATCTGAATTCCCGTTATTTCTAGAAATATTAAAAATTGTTTCAGAAGTTTAGATAACTAACACTGATTAAATGAGCAAACAAAATCATAAATGCAACCGTCAACCGTGTCTCAGACACTGCTTCAGTTGCTTTGCACCCCTTTCGCTTTACCCAGTTGAACTCTTTAAGTACTTTAGCGAACGCAAAAAAATAATTGACTTGTTGGAAGAACAAAGACATTCAGAGAATGAAAGAATAGAGACGGAGAGAAACTTATGGATGTGTCGTAATCAACAACCAACTTTTGACAATAACACCACATTAAATCGAATGGTATCACTTTTAACTTTTTTTTACGACCTCTTTGTCTCATCGGTGCAGAAAAAAAACATAACGGTAATAGGAGAACAACACTTGTTGCTCCAATCCTCCTGGACATTTTACGACCTAAATTTCCGTTAAAGTTGAGAGAGAAGCTCAAATGCACAGTAATTTCATTTTCAGAGGCATATTTTGATATGAAAGATGTCAAATTGTATGATCTCAAAATGTATATTATGTTATTGCCAGGAATTGAAAATTGCTGATTCAGCATGAAAAATACAGACAGAAAGTTGACACCGAGTTGGCAGTTAAAGTTGGCATATCGTCATCATCATGTTGTAATTTATTTAAAATGATCATGCTACTTATTAATAACGATCATGACTTTATAAAAGTCTCAAACTTAATGTGAGGATTCATTACGAGTTCGCATTTTCGTATCGCAACATAAGTTTTTTTAGTTGCGAACTGCTGAGATGCGCAAGTTCTCAAATGAATTTTTAGGTCAAAATTTGCTGCTAATAGAGAGTTGGAGATTCCTTGTACTCTGACTGTAGACTGTACTGTGGACTCTAGATGATGACGTCATCAGCTTTTTGTACTAATTCTACAGTCTACAGTAGACAAATTGAAACACGGGCTCAATTTGTACTACTGTGGAAAAATCAAGGGTTGGCAACTAGGATATCTCTAGAACGCCTCAATGTAATCAGACGCCGTTTTCGCCATTTTGCTTCTAATTTTTGACCCTAGGTCGAGTTCGAAGATGGGCTCCCTGTGGTCAAGGTCAAGGTCACCCTGGCGTGAAGTAAACGCAAAATTGTACCTTAATTTTCATATGCGGTATCATTTTAAAGGAAATTTCACCAAGAATTTATAGTCGTCAATACTTTTGACCTACGACCAACCAATGACCGAAAGGACGAGGTCAAAGGTCGCAATTTAAGTGTCGACTGTTTTAGACGTGTATTAAGGCGAGAATTTAAGAAATCTGCATAGCTTTAACGTATGAAGACCCCGTGACCATGTTCACGAGGTCAAAGGTCAAAAATGTTAATATTTTATTTCAACCGTTGCAGACGTAGTTCACTTTGAAGCGAGGAGTTCAGAAATTACTATCATTTCGGCTTATATCAGCCTGGTGACCGTTTTAATCGAGGTCAAGGGTAAAAAATTTCGACTTTTTGGTTTGATCGTTTTAAACGCACATGTTGGAGGGATTCTCATTTTGTATATCATGAGTTGATTTGTCTCAATTTTTGACTCATCTATTTCGCGGAGTTTTACAATACAATTTTTTCAGAGTACAAAATAATGAAATTCTCCAGGTCTTTTGATTTTTGTACTAATTTTTGTATTGTACTGTAGTCACAGTACAGTACAAGTAAAAGTACAAAAAATCTCCAACTCTCTAATGATGCAAACTTGTGGATAACTGAATTACATCAATGTTAAGTTATACAAATGAATATTTAAATTTACCCTGCAAACGGTGAATCAACACTTTTTATCTAATCACCACAAATTCGAATTACTCTCACTATAGTCAGGACAATTTCAAGAAATTAAGATTGCAAAAATAATGCCAGATTTGTATAAATCATTCTCATTCCTAAATAGTTAATAAATTATAAATCTCATTTTCATTTATGATTCACATCACAAAATGTGCAAACATGAAACTTAGCGATTGGAAGATATATCTCACCAGTTAATATTTTTAGCAAACCAACTGCACCTAATTTGTTCGTATTTAAATTTAAAATACAAAATGGTTACTTACCTCACTGAATTGAAACTTTTTCATCCGGTCGAGTGAGAGTTGCAGGCAGGCGACGTATTATTATTTGGAGCCTGCATTTCAACGGCCTAAATTCCAGAGATTTATTTTTGGTTGGAGCTCTTTATCACTTGGTATCTCACTTTCCCCACTCGCACAGCACTCCTCCTCACCCGTTCAAACTTTCGTTCTTTCTTGAACAAATATAAAATTAATATTTAAAAAAAGTTAATTCCCTGCTTTCAAAAACTGATTTTTTCTTCAAAATAATATATTTGCATATAGTACTGTTGAGAATCTTGATAGTCTTCGTTCAAAATCGGAAATTGTTGACAAACCTACAAGTAAAAGTAAGTTAAAGAAATATTAAGCCATTTTAGAATTTATAAATACAGTATTTAGTGTTTAGAATTGCTAAATTAGCAGTATTGTTAATTACTTAAGTATATTGGTTAATAAATGACCATTAGTCTCATAAATTTTATAAAGTTTCTGCGAATATGTGAAGTCACGTTTGATTGTTGATGGAAATAATAAGCTGATAAAGTTATTTTGTCTTTTTACAGCTTCTAACCTTTTTGAACGCTAACTGCTGAAGGGAGTTGATTTATTCTGGTGATATAACTCCTTGACGTTGTTCTTCCCCGTATCAAGATGCCTAAAGCGGAAGCTGGGACGCCAAAATGGTTGGCGAACAAGATGAAGTCCAAAGGGTTGCAGAAGTTGAGATGGTACTGTCAAATGTGCGAAAAACAGTGTCGAGATGAAAATGGGTTTAAATGTCACACCTCTTCCGAGTCCCATCAACGTCAACTGCTCCTCTTTGCGGAAAACCCTCACCGATATTTGGACGAGTTTTCTAGGTAAGTTTTTTTTACGATTTGGAATTAATTTATGAGTCAAAGGTTTTACCTAATACCGTTTTATATGTCATCAGTGAGTTCAAGACTGGATATGTGGAACTCCTGCGACGTCGGTATGGCACGAGAAGAGTGAACGCTAACCAAGTAATTCATTTAAATTATCAATTGACTGATAACAAGGTTTTTTTAAAAATAATTTGTGAACTAATTGTGTATATTGGTATGTATAGGTTTATCAAGAATACATTTCTAGTAAAGACCACTTGCACATGAACGCGACTAAGTGGTTGTCTTTGACATCTTTTGTGAAATGGTTGGGCCGTGAGGGGATTTGTGTCGTGGATGAGACAGAAAAGGGTTGGTTTGTCACTTGGGTTGATAGGTATGTTTTGTTTAAAACTTTAGTTTAGTTTAATTAAATTAGATGTTAATGATATCGTATATATTATTTCCTTCAGAGAACCTGAGACAATAGCAAGACAACAAGCTGCAGCAAAGAAGAGGAAAATGGACAAGGACGACGATGAGAGAATGTCGGATTTTATTGCGAAACAGGTTTGCATGATGTTTGATGATATAATTAATGAATTTCATGGATTTTGTTTTGTGCAATTTTTGGGTGTTATTCTAGGTGGAAAGAGTCGGAGCATCTGGAAAGGATGACGCCACATACAGCGAGTTGCAACGGGACGAGGACGAAAAACTCTCGTTAAAATTGAACGTTGTGGGTTCTGCAAAACCTAAAACAGAGGTTGCTGCAAATCCATCCGTGTTCAAAATTCCCGAGATCAAATTTTCAAGCGCATCATCCGTTCGCAGTTTTTCTTCCACTGCAAGCTCGAAAGAAAGAAAACGAAAGTCGGCTCTCGAAGAATTACGCGAGGAACAGGAAAGATTTAAGGAAAAGAAGTTTCACAAGGATTATTGGCTATTGGAAGTAAGTAACAGTATTTCAATCCTATTAAGTGTGTGATTCAAAAAGTAATTTAATTTCTTGATTCAATTTTAGGGCATCGTTGTGAAAGTCATAACGAAGGACTTGGGCGACAAGTACTACAAACAGAAGGGAGTCGTGATTCAAATCATTGATAAATATGCCGGTGTCATAAAACTGCTTGAAACAGGACATAAACTTAAATTGGATCAGGATCATTTAGAAACTGTTATTCCTTCACCCGGTGAGTTTATTGTTATATACCAATATACTAAATTAGTCATTGATGGTTATTTAATTGAGTATTATTAATTAGGCCGCACTGTTAGAATTTTAAACGGAGAATTCCGTGGATCCGATGCTATCCTGAAATCTGTAGATATGGATAAATTTGCTGTAAAAATTCAAATATGTTCAGTAAGTTTCGAGCATTACATGTGTTATATATTCTCAAATGGTGTTGAATATTTGTAAACACTCATTTTCTCATTTGCTTTTTTTTGTAGGGATCATTTGAAGGAAAAGTCTTGAAAGACATCGGTTACGCGGAGATCAGTAAGGTGCACGTAGAGCCCTCGTAGCGAAATCAACTCTGCCTCTATTTAACGCTAGTTATGCCTGTATACTGGGATAATGTTTTATTTATTATAATTAAAATACTACTGTGATAATTATATAATGGTTATAATTCTCTTGTAAATTTTACTAATGTTTTATAAATGCTCTATCTAGCCAAAACATAAGTGGTCTTTTAATTATTTGCAAATCTGGTACAAAATAGTAACCACATGGTTCCAAAGAAAGTAACAATTCCCATATTATTCCCCATCGCACCGCTGTTATCCACCTGAGGTTTTCTTAGCCCGGTTTTCTCCTCGGGAAAACAATACCCGTTGAAGAGGGGTTGAGCTGTTATTCCTCTCCTATACATACGCAATTATGGTTATCATTTTAGTGACTTGCCTCACTGAATCAGTTAATAATTTCTTACCACAACATACGACACCGATGTTGGTCCAGCCTGTGCCACGCGTCATCCGTAATTTTGGTATCAATTTCGAATTCCTTGGACCAGAGCCGCTCCGCCATGGTCCCGACCAAAGGAAATATTCTCGTGAGAAGATTGGTCGAGTCCACATATTCACCCCAACAGGCAGCTTCCCCACCCAACACGAGCTTCCTTTGCTCCTCAGTTACTGTAATGACATTAAAAAGTTTGACCCCATATTTTTAACGGGATGTCGTAAACATATTTTTAAAGGTTGTCCTTTACACACTCCTTGGTAGTTTCTTGATGGGGTCGCACTCGTAATACTTGCGAAACTCGGAACTGCTAGCTCCTCCGTATGAAATGTAGTTCAGATACCAGCAGGATGAGAGGATCGAAGTGTAATTCAGTTCTAAGGCTTTCTAAAGTAAATTTCGCCAATTTGTAAAGGGATTTCCATCAAAAGATATAATGAGGGTATTCATTTAGAGTTCGCATCGTTAGCAACGTTGGCAAAAAATTTTGGCTTGAAAATTAAATTTATTTGCGAACTTGCGCATCTCCAGGATTCATAAAATATTTTTCACAAATATGGAAAATTTTGTAATAGGAAAAATTCATAAAGCTCCATTAGTTACCGAAGTTTTACCTTTTGAAATTTTTTTAGTTGGTAATTTTAGTTGGTAAATTTCATACGCAAAACTTCAGTAACTAATGGAAATTTGCGAATTTCTCCCATTGCAAAATTTGAACCAAGTTTTCTTAACTTTTCATTTGCGAAGTGTCTTCACTTCGTTGCTTCGCTAAATTCGGAATTTCGAAAAAATTATGTTGCGATGCGAACACGTGAACTCATAATGAATACCCTCAATAACTGATAATACATTTCAATAGCTCACCCTCCAATAAGGGACCCAAGAATCTGGGGTAGCTGCATCGCCTCCCTTCCAGACTTGGATGATGACATCTTTGGAAACCTGCGCACGAAGGTTGTTTTTAAATAAATTTGTAAACTCACCTTGCTTATTAATTGAATAAAAAAAGTTTGCACATCAACTCCATAGTCGATCGGATCATGCCAAATGATGGACTTGAGTCCTAGTTGCTTGATCATTTCGAGATGTCGAGTAACATAGTATTCTTCCAAGTCGTGGATTTTGAGCATTGGTGGAACCTGTTCTTTCATAAATTTTCGAACTACGGGAGAGGAATTCCAGCATGCAGGGTAGACCTAGCAAATGTAAACCCAGAAGGTCAGAAGACCATGGGCATATATTATAAAATTTGTAAACTGCACGTTTACAGTCCAGAAGTGCGTACCTCATCCATCCCCAAATGAACATACTCGTCTCTCGTGACATTTCTTATCTCCGTGAAAAATTCTCGCATCACTTCGAATGTGTCTTCATTGGTTGGATCTAAAATTTCATACGCGGCGTGCTTTCCTGGGATTGCGGTGCCTGGGTTCTCCCCATTCTCGTCGTAACATGGAGTAAGAATATCTGGGGTTAATGAAAAAGTGTTCATTGTAGCAAAATATTTTGATAGATTTTTCAAAATTATGTGCTAATATTTCTCACTCGGAAATGTTTTCCCAAACCCAAGCGTATGACCTGGCGTGTCAAACTCGAGAATTACACGAATCCCTCGATCTCTCGCGTAATCCATGATTGCTTGGACTTCTTCAGGCTCATAGGTCAGTCCTGGATAGGCTCCCTAACATGCAAACTGTTTACATGATACACCATGACCAACCAATTACATAATACTGACGACTTTGTCATCGTAATCTTATCTAATCTAATGTGATTATCTACTAGCAAATCCATGTCAACAATCCCACCCACCTTTTTGGCCAAGTCAGGATACCTGCCGCTCACAAAGGGAAAGCTCTGCATGGAAATTAAGTGATGATGAAGGAAATTTTGATAAGTTTCATTTTGCATAATGCTCCACACACCTGATCATCTACCAAATGCCAATGGAACACGTTTAATTTGTTCATCGCCATTCCATCCAAAACTGTCTGAATAATTGGAAGATCTACGTAATGCCTCGCCGTGTCCAACATCAGACCCCGATGCGGGAATCTTGGAGCGTCCGAGATTTGGGTCAAATTTACGTAAAAGTGGGACGCTGTCTCATCCTTCCAGATCAGTTGAGAAAAAGTCTCCATTCCGTAAAGTGCACCCCACACGGTCCAACCCGTGATGACGGCAGAAACCTGATTGTCACTCACCAGAGATATGTCAATCGTATCTATTTAAAGGAGTATTTCATAAAAATAGTTTCCTTATGGACTCCTTATAATTGATCAACTCTGTTTTTTTATCACATCTCTCGTAGTTTCTGTCCTCTTCTGTGTACAACTTGGGATAGTCGTTGCACAAATTCTGAGCCGCATTTTCCGGGATGTTGACCAAAACTCGGGACAAGAGTGGGGTGCTGCTGGAAGGAGTGACCTCCACGTTGCGGAAGAGAAACTTGGCGTCATACCGGGCGAAAGCGGTTGAAAGGAGGGGACATTCTACGTTTGAGTAGAAAGTGAAATCTCGGCCGGAAATGGTGGCAAATTTTGTGTCATTCACTAAGCTTTCAGGCCTTGGCCATGGCGATCCGGGCGGTGAAGGGGTGCCCTACGTGCAGAGGAATTTACGCAGATAAAAATTTTACCGAAGATGTAATTATTTTAATCCATTTACCACCAAAGGAAGTCGAGCCGCTATGGGGGAAAGGTGTCCAAAAACGGTGTGAACAAGTGACGCCAGGAATAAGAAGCGTAGTAACATTTTTGTTTAATTGACCAGGTTGAGGTAAATCGACAACTTACTTAAATGCCTCGACAGTCAAAAAGTGCTTAAACAGAAGCCATGTAGTATGGCATTTTTGATAACGTAATCTGCATAAGATAAGCCCCACACATGTCGCAATTGTATTACATTATAATTTACAAGGAATTTAGCCCAAATGCACGATGTGAAGTTGTTGTACAAGCATTAAGTGTATCAATGTGACATAATTATTATTAAGTAACTAAAGATGTATGCATGTCGTCATTTGTGATGGGTACATATTCCTTAATTTGTGTTATTTATTAAGACTCTGCAACGGAATTATTCCTAAAAATCTCCCTGTTCCGACGAATGCTTTTGATGCATTTAATTTTCATTTACTTATTATGCAAATGTAACCAATCCAACTGTGGTAGAATTTTGATATGAAAAATAATTATTTTTCATACATATAGGGCATTAAGTTACAGAGTTTTTTATTATGCTCAACATAACTAAAGTATATTATTCTGATTAAGAATGAATGCTACACTAGAAAGTATTACTCTGATGTATATGACAGATTTAGCGATACATGATAATCATTTACAACTGTGCTGAATAGTATGTTGGATCAATTTCCACGTATTTTAAACAAATTTTGATATATCAAGTATTTTTTGGCAAAGTTCACACCGTCAATGAACATAGATTACGCGTCTTCGCAGGGCAGGTAGATGTCTGAAGTACAGTCGCCGCCTTCAAGAAAATCAATAAAAATATTCTGAACTTACATATGTTCTAAATATACGATGAGGTCATTATTAAATGAAATTAACTACTTAGCACAATAAAGCCCCACCTGGGTATCGAATCTCATGAGCCAAAACTGGACCATCAGGTTCCTTGCCAAAGTCGACTAAGAAGTCGGGATTGATTTTCATTCCTCCGTTTTCCACGTCAACGTCAATTTGGAGAAGACAAGCTCCTTTCCTGGTAAAGAATTACGCAAAATTATTTGCATAATTTGTGTAAAGTGTGCTTATTTGCATGCCACCCACTTTTGCAACTCTGGATAGAACTGCTTGTCCCACGGAGTGAAGAGGGATGTCGTCAAGTAAAGTCGTTTCCCGTCCAAGCTCAACTGCAACATTTGAGGTCCACCCTGAATCGCCGTGTCCTTCACGACAAGCCCTTCCGGTTGCTCCTGCGATAAATCAAACAGTAAAAATAAAAGCAAAATTTTTAATTGTATCATTAAATTTTTCTTGATTTTTTAAATACATCGAGTTCTGGGTCATTCACAACTTTCACTAGGCCACTCTTGACGATGGATCCACCCACAAAGAGCTGTCCAGTCAAGCGAGGTGCCGCAGGGTCAGAGATGTCGTACTGCCGCACATCCCCATGCACCCAGTTGCTAAAGTAGAGATACTTATCGTCCATGGATATGATGATATCCGTGATTACTCCTAAGATAAGAAATTAATTAACTAATTTCTTAACAAATTCGTTATCATTAAATATGATGACTCGTATCTGATATTTCTTACCAGGCATGTCGGTCAGTCCTACCCACCAGTTTTCAACCTTCTTGGTTGCGACGGAAATGACCTTTTCAGCCACCCACTTCTTGGTCTCGCAGTCTTGATAGAATCGGAAAATGTTGGAGGAGAGAGCACACCCCACAAAACCTTGGGGTTTGTTTGGATTGTGGAGGAATCGCGTTTCGAGCGGCATCCAACCGTCGGTCGTTCCCAGATCGATTTTATCCAACAACCTCTTCTCACTCCAGGACCAGACGTTGAGCGAGTGACCGTAACCTAGAAGACGAAAAAGAGATGAAATATATGTATATCGTATAATTAAGAGTCACTAATTTGGCTACTTACTCTCTGGAACTGCGGCTGGATCCAGGCCAGTCTTAAACGCTTTGGGGGCTCCCCACTCGCTGGAAATCATAACGTCAAACTTCGGCTGGTACCTAATCACCACACAATAGGTATTAGTACATTAGGTATTTTTACAGAATACCTAATCACCTTGATTGGATCATCGATTGGATTAGAAGGTATTCTATTATGATAATTGTAATTATTATTCATAATTTCCCTACCAGAAATCGTATCCGTACGGAGTGTCCGTCTCACTCCATGTTCCTGTGCATAAAATCATAAAAATTCGTTGCAATTAATCAATTATTTTAATCTTAATTATTAATTAAAATAATTATTTAGTCTTTATCCACCACTCACCCTTCACTTTGAAGTCTTTATCCCCATCCAAGATGAGAAACTGTCCCTTTGCATTCCCCTCGGCGTCACCCATCGTGGAAATCATGATTTCTCCATTGGGCAAACAATGGCTCGTGTGTGGGGCGGAAAGTCCAAGGTCGTGGAGCTCCTTGGGCTCAATGATCTTATGCAAAGTCGGATTTGTCTCCTCGCTCACGTCGACGACATAAATCCGGTCGCTGTTCAAACAGGGGAAGATCAACTTGTCCCTTTTTGCACACGGGTTGCAGCAACTGGAACAAGCGTTCCAGCCGGAGTGGTGCAGCTCATCCTTCTCCCGATGGAGGGGAAGTTGCATCCTGCTGATGACCTATGCATGGAAGATTAGATGCAAAATCCACCAATTTTTGTACAACATTTCACTCACCTTGGAGAAAGTCTCGCTTCCCGGCTTGACATCGACCACGCTGACATAATCCGATTTCACGGGAAGGATCGAGATGCACGGGATGTACAGGATATGTTCCCGTTTTCCGTACTTGACGGCGTCGGCAGGGGTGTTGTAGCCAGGTCCTGGCTTCTCGTAGGCAAGTTCCCCGACTTTGTGAGGGTGTGGAACCATCGCTCAAATTTTGTGAGGAGGAGGACGAACCGAAAAAATGAACTTCACCGGTCGGAAGGACAACTTGGAGTGCTACCTATGACCAGATAGTAACCTTGTATTTATGGCTGCGGTTATTCTAGCTCGTGGTTGAGCTACCTGTGCATCTGAATGTATACACCGGTCGACCTTGACAATTGTTGGGAGCGTATAGCGTGAGTGACAATTTTTATGAAACGGATTGAATCTACATCAACAAATAAGAATGAATCGGGTTGAGTTGAGTTGAAATTCGGTAAGTTGAAGGTTACATTATTAGTGATACCAGAGGGGATGCATATGTAAGTACATGCAGTTGGTTTGATCAGGCAGAATGTAATACCAGCAAAGACATGTACATAAGAAGATGCAAATGTCTATCAACTCAAGATACGCCAAATCTCACTATGATGGACAACTATGCCTACTCTATTTCATAACAAGAATAGTATTGAGTAAGCAAAAACATGTATATGTATGTACATATTTATGTACAACATTAGCCCATCTGAATTATTTTGGGATTGGGACACTGATTAATGCTGAGCAAATTGGTTAGTATTTGAGACTGGAATAAGTTTATATCTTCTACCTCGTGCATACATTTCCATGTATGTATGATAGATTTTCAGACCATTTATCACCAAATATGACGAATGAACGACTGCCTCCCACCACTGGTGCCAAGTCTGATTAACCAATTTTACAAGTGTGATAGTGCAAACCTTTCTAAATTCTGGGTACTCTTTTATTTATTTATTTGTGGCTGAGACGACGAGTTTGCTGTGGGAGTAGCACGCACGAGTCAAAAACTTATCAAATATGTAAATTCATAAGCACGACTGATTGAGTGGGGGAATAAAATGAAATGTGTGACTTGACTGCAGCCAAAATGCAGGCGTTATCTTGGGAAAAGATAACTTAATCGATGTATGTAATTGGATGTAGATACGATGCCCATGATAACCTCAACTCTACTTGATGCATACAGATGCATAGGTTTAACTGGTTTGAATAGGCGTAATAAAATGGAATGGCAAATGATTTCTTTCAGTGACGCATTCGCTCAGCTTAAATGTAGTTTGAAGGACCAGTTAAATTATTAAATATTCGTTTCACATAAAAATACAATGTTACGTTTTTCACACAAATATTTATGTATGAATTTTTCAGGTGCGAAAACAATTCAAAAATGCATGGCGTGCTTAGAAATTGGGGATAAAAATTTATTTCACAGAAATAAAATGTTCGCTTTGTTTCAATTCGCAGGTTGTAAAAACAATGCATGTTATACTTTTGTTCATATCTCAAGTAAGTAGTTTAGGCCAAAAATGGTAAAATTGGGAAGTCGGATAAGTAAATAATTATGATGATAATATTATTTAAATTATAATTTAGTTTGGTTTGAACTAATAGTATAAAAGTTGCATAAGGTGGTTTTCATAATGGTATGTACACAACTGAACATGAACTTTGGTGACGATCGTAATTTACATGCTGGAAATTTAGTTATTCGTATGTAGAGTTTTGTAAATTGTCATCAATATTTGTAATTTACTAGCTGGACGAATATATGTAAATAAGGGAACGTTAAGCTCTAAAAATTGTAGCTAAAATCTGACATTGTTACACAACATCCGGATCGATCCAGATAATATATTTCTCAATTCCTTAAAACGTATCTGCTGCTAAATTGTGATTGGTCCGAAAATACAAAACAGTTAATAATTTGCTACGTTTTCATATTTACATACACATAAATATTCCAATAACGCATTTACACATTCACTCAGCAGTTTGAGAGGCTCTTCCATGGAATACAGCAGAACTACCGTGCAAAACCTCGGCACGTGTGGAAGTTAGCTCATCAAGAGCTGGTGAATTATTTGCTCAAAACGAAGCATTTCATGAACACGTTCCTACGAGAAATGCATGTTATTAAATATTCCAAAACGCCGAATTTCTAAAACTACGTTGCTTATCTTTTGGCTTGGCGTCCTTTCCAGTCCTTTAAAAAGAAGCAGCTGCCTGGTCAGTTTATGCAGTCTGAAAATCAATACAGGCCTCTCGCAAAAGCCTCACTCTTGAATAGCTTAAACTTAGTGATCAAAAACACAGATTAAATTAAAAGTCAAATTTTTCTTGTTAAGTTTCCTAAAATTTCAAAGAGTTCAATTTTTTATTAAATCTAATTATCATGAAAGACTTGGGTTTGCTGGGTCGTCTGATCGACTATTTGTGTCACTTGGGTTTTCTTGCTTTGATGGAACTAACTCGCAGCGAGGTCGGAATTCTGGTCGCTTCTGGTGTCGTCGTCGCCTTTCTGGTGCAACGTTGGCGTCGAATGACTCTCCTCCAACGGTGCGGAATCCCAGGACCACGACCTCACTTCATCACAGGAAACATGAAGGAATGCTTCTCTATTCCCAACGTTGTTTTTGATTCCAACCTCATTAATACGTAAAAGCAATTAACTTTTGAATTTCTGTAAAAACAATTTTAGAAAGATAACTAAATTACTTAATTTTTAACAGGTACGGCCCGATATGTGGATATTATTTGGGCGCAAAACCGATAATTTTGATTTCTGATCCCGAAATCTTGAAGCTGATTGAAATCGAGCAAGCTAAAAACTTCAGGAACCGGCCACGACGCGTTCCTGGTGGTAATATTTATATTCTGGAAGTTGAACTCAAATTGCAAGACTGAAATTTATTAAAGTTTTTTGTTACTTAAAAAGGAATTAGTCCAGACCCAAAGCGCACCGAGATGCTGGGCAATCTCCCCCATGAAGAGTGGTCAGAAACGAGAAAGGTATTAAGCAGAGCCTTCACACCGGCAAAATTGAAGGAAATGGTGCCCCAAATCAAGGACAAGGTTGACATCTTCATGAAGAAGGTTGTCGAAGGGGAGATGGACTTTTACCCACTGCTTCAAGGCCTCACGCTGGACATCATTGGTCAAACCGGATTTGGTGTGGAGTGTCACATCCAGGAAAATATTAATGATCCATTGCACCTCGCGGTACAAGCGGAGTTTGCAAAATCGCCAAGTTCATGGTTGGTAAAGGTGGGTATAGTCATAAATGATGAGGTAAATGGGCACATTACAATTTTCTCATCTTTTTTCGTACAGGGATATCTTTGCTTCTCCGAATTTACTTGGCTCTTGCAACCCTTTCGCGTAGCTTTGTACAAGCTCCAAGAACATCTCGGTTGGGCAGAATCATCCGAACTATGGGACACCGGGTTCAGCACATTTCACAAGAGAACTGTTGAGAACAGGTGCGTTTAATTAATTTCAAGTGCGTGAAAACTGATTAAATTTAAATTACTATTTATTATTTATACGCAGCCCCCGACGCCCAGACATTCTGCAACAACTTTTAGATTCTCACCTGTCCGCAAATCCTCTCCGAGTGGTGGCCAATTCTGTCCTGTTTTTTGAAGCCGCTTATGAAACGTTGTCATCCTCCCTCGCTTTCATTATCCACCTGCTCGTGAAGCACGAAGAAGTCCAGGAGCTCGTTCGAGAAGAACTCGCCGCAGTTCTTGGCGACAAGGGTGGAGAGCTGGATGAAGTAGTGGAACAGAATGACCTGCGAAAACTGAAGTATTTAGATATGGTTGTGAAAGAGGGATTGCGACTGTTCCCTCCACAGACGACATTTATTGGACGGTAAGTTGCTTCTAATTACATTTGGATTTATTTTGATCTAATGACGTTGACCTTTGACCCTTGACTTCACCTCCACAAGATTCGGAGACACGGCAGTAACAGTTCGGAAGGACGGAAAGGAGTACATAATTCCACCAGGGGTCCATGTTCAAGCCGGGCTTTACCAACTCCACCACTCCTCCGAACACTGGGAGGACCCCGAACAATTTAGACCGGAACGATTTTTAGATCCAAACGGTAGTAGCAAAATTATATTTTAAAAAGTCTAAATTATACCAATTTTTAAATGAATTTTTTTACATCTTACTTGCAGTGAATTCTGGAAAATGGCAAGCATTCGGACTCGGTCCTCGGATCTGTATTGGCCAATCTTTCGCCTGGATTGTGTTAAAACTCGTGTTGGGAAACCTACTGGCCATGTACATGCTCAGTCCTGGTCCGAATTTTGAAAATGAGATTAGCATCCGCTACAAAATTGCGACAATGACTCCAGCAAAGGGAAGTTTTGCTGTAGTGAAGAAACAGCCACTCACGGAATATTGAGACTGACTTCCAATTTGACGAGCTAGCATTAATCTTGTTAGTGATAATTTTAACCGGTTTCGGAACATTTCGGCTTTTTTTTCTGCTGGAAACTTATTTTACTCGAGTGATCAGATATATGTATGTAGTAGCGCAATTAATCTAGTTTTGTTCGCATTTCGCATTTATGTATTATACGACTACAGTATTTATTTCACTATCATGACTACATAATAAACTTTTGCAGAAATTAAAAAATATATATCTAAAGGGTGTTAATAAAGTCCGATCCCATTTTTCCTATAAAAAAGTGAAGGCTAGTATAAAAAAAACTACCCGTGATACTTACAAAAAATGTTCGACATATTTACCTTAGTATTTGGTCTTGTTACCATTTACTTTAACCATGCCCTCAACTCTTTGTTTAAGGCTCTGTGCTAATTTTTCCAATGTGTCTGTGGGAATCGAATTCCATACATCTTGAACTTTTTTTACTAGCTCTTCCCTCGTCCGGGGTTGTGGTTCTTTGTATACATTTTCCTTAAGTATGGACCACAGGTTCTCCAGGGGATTCAAATCTGGGCTGTTTCCGGGCCACACCCCCTTGCTCCAGACCGTTGAAACTTGCGTCTTGATGAGACTCAAACTCGCTTTTGCTGTATGGGCTGTAGCACCATCCTGCATGAAAACTATTTTTCTTTCATTCGGAAATATTTCCTTGTTCCCCATGCTATCGAAATAGATAGGTAATATTTTTTCCATATAATACTTTGCATTGACTGTTTGGCCTTTTGGTATGATATGTAGAGGAGTCACGCCACGTGCACAAAATCCACCCGCTACCATAACTTTAAGCCCGAATTTTGGGACTGCTCTTGATGGTACATCCGATTTGTTTTCTGTCCTGTAACGAACATTTTGTTGGTTCAATTTTGGATATAGCTCAATAATAGATTCGTCAGTCCAAAGGATGTGACTGCGCAATTCTTCACCAAGTCTTTTTTCACTCAAATGGCCACTTTTCTGAAGGAGTTCTCCAAATTTCAGACGGTCATCGATATTTTTTTGTGACATGAGAGGTTTTTTGGTTAGTTTGTAAGCTGTGTGACCCCACCTCGTAGATTTCACAAATTTTTGCACGGTCACATAGTTAATTTGCTTCTTCTTCTCTTTATAGCGTTTTGAGTCATTTAACTCCCTTGCACAATTACGTAATGAACTACCGGTTTTCTTGTAAAGTCTGTTTTTAATCATTCTCTTTGTGGTAGGTGACACCTTTCTGGGTCGCCCGGGTCGCTTTTTGTCGTGGACAAAATTTTTGTTCTTCCATTTCCAAACAGTTCTGCGGCTGCAGCCCAATTTTTGCACAATTTCTGCAGGTTTAAACCCCTGCTGATGCAATGTTTGTATCTTAACTCTAAGATGCTCATGACTTACACGTTTAGTTGTTCCTCCCATGGTAAAAATTTGAAATAAATAACTTCACTGGTTCAAAAGTTCCAGCTGAATTTGTAACAACCGCGCTCCAAAAAATTCATGGGATCGGACTTTATTAACACCCTTTAATTATTTATTTAATTAATTGAATCGTAAGTTAACCCAGTCGTTTTTTAAGAAATGGTTTAATTTGGGAGGAAGATTAAAGCCGTTCAGAAAAATTGTGGCTATGGTGCGGGAGGAAGACAATTGTCGTTTCTGAAAGGTCATTGATTTTCACAATTTTCTCTCCGCGGAGTAAAATCTGTTTTCATTTTGACGGATTTCTCCCATGCCAACCAAATGTTAAATTTGAAACTTTTTTTGCCAAAAATTTTGACATTTCTCAATGCAATGTAAAATTTTGGAATTTTCAGTTTTTCCAAGTTTCACTAAAGCCATTCAGTTCCTCCGCATTTCCATTTTGATCGAAGCCATGTTTCAAGACTTTCTCCCCTGCACAATCTTTCTCAAACTTCCATAAGAACTTCATCTGGACGGACACACTACGTAAATAGCAGTTGCACACTAATGATTTGCGTGTGAATTGTTTGTTAGTACTCAACAAATAAAGTTGCAAATTTTTCCGCAACTTGTCATTAATGTCCTTTTTATGCAAAATAGAAGCTTTAGGAATTTTAAACTAAACCCTCAGACTAGCAGAAATTGAAATTCGTTCATCTACTTTTCTTTTTCGCACGACTAAAGTGGTCTCTGCACTTGTTCCTTTTCCCACACGTAAAACCGGATGGATTGCAAAATCTGTCCGGCCGGCATTTACCCTTCTTGTTATCTATTGTACCGCATCGACAACAATGCCTCGTGCAATACATCCGCACCGGGTGACGGACGGACAAGTTGATATACAAGCTCTGTGGGATAAAAACGATCAAATTCGCCCATGTTTTCAGTACAATAACACAAAATGATCCAACATCAAGCATAATAATGTGAGCTCTATTTTTTGTATGCACTTCTTCCATCACTACTCGATGAACTTTATCATCAGTAAAGTTACTGCTAACAGGCAGCCACATACATACATATTTTTCCGTGTGTAACATCACTTCACTTCTCAACCACGTAGCCATCTAAGTATCTGACTGAAGAGCAGTTAGCAAGTACATACAATTTACAATCCACAATATTGACTGCAACGAACGCATGTACATCAGTTACTGCTGCACATAAGACGGTCGATGCATCGCATCGCATCACGGTGAACATGAACATGAGAGTTAAAAACCTTTATAGGACTCGAATTACTTTCAGTTTCTGCTTAGTCTGGCTGTGGATCGTTTGCAAGAAGCATTGACGCCACTACTGTTACACCTGTGGAATCATCCCAGTAAATACCGTAGACAAAAACCATTCCCATCATCATAGGATACCGAAAGATATAGGATTTTTTGTTCCAGCCTCTGAACTGAACTCTTCTTTCAGTTGATGAGAAGAAGGTGAAATTGCAGTTTTAATTGTTGTTTTTTGTTCTTCTCCTGTGTCCGTGCAAGTTAAACCCGGATTTGCTATTTTTATTGTAAAAATTTATCTCGCAAAATCCCAGAGGAGGAGGAGGAAGGAAGGGAAGTGACATTTACTTTAGGTTAGAAATAGCGAGTGCAAGAAAAAAAGCTCCTTTTTGGTGACTGCATTTCATTACCACGGAGGACGTTACAAGTTGGACACAGGGGCAAAAACGGTTGAGGAGAATTGAGCCCAAGGTAAGATAAGTTGAGGACAAAATGTCATTCTATGCATCTCCGTATCATAGTTTCAATCTCTTGAATGTATCTCCTCTCACTGTGAATGTGGTTATTTTGGTTTGGTGCATTTTTATTTGAGACGAATTATCATCGCTATCTATCCTGTAATAAATAATCTTATGCGCGTACTTACGTATTTACAATCACTTGGCATTCATGGGGCCAGAGTGGATAAATTAAGGATGAAATTGGCGACGGACACAGTAACGGAAGGGTCAAGAAATTGTGTTAAGTCTCTCCTCGTTTAAACGAGGCAGTAAATCTTTAATGATTGATGGAGCAAATAATAAATACATAAGCAACTGTGGAAAAACGGAAGAACGGAGGGCTGATTATTATTTTAAATGAGAGTGGCCCATTCTTTAAGATTAATCTGCGCGTTTTGTATCGATATTCTAACCCATTGTTCAAACTGGTGGTGTTTCATCGTCCAGGCCTGAATTTCACGCCATTGTTGTACAGCCATTTCCTGTATATACGGGTCTTGCAAGTTCGGTCGGTTCGTCTATGCATTGTCAAACCTTGAGCTTGGTTTAAGATCCAAAATTAAATTAATCTGCATTTTCTTCTTCTTCGTCTTCCTCTGAAATCAAACTGAAAATGAGATTCGTTCTTTTAATCATGTTGTTGTAATAAAGATTTTTTTATTTGTTTAAACACAAACTCATCGAATTGATTAGAACATGAATCTCGCATAAATTATGTTACACGGATGGAAAAAAAATGAATTACGGTTTGATTACAAGGCTCCAGTCAAACAATGCGCATGAAGTGATTTGATTTTGATTAGATGAAATTATTGATTGGATATACGGGATCCAAATCCTCTTCTGCTGGTTTTCATAGAAATTCTGATTATGTAAAATTAAAATTATTCTTAATGAAAAGATCTGCGATGCCAATATTTTTGCATACTCGACATACAACGCCCCGAGGTTTACATGGTTGCTGTTGAATTTCTCTTGTGTGTGTGTGTGTGAATAATTTGCTAATTTTTGACGCTATTTTAGCAACTTGTCGATTACAAGGATACGCAAACAGACAGACACGGCTCCAGAAAAAAGGGGATGATGTGTTGATGAGGATGGCAAAGTAAAATAATTTGCACAACAATTTACTCCATGTTTCTTTGTTATGCAGGCTCAGTAAGAAGGGAGGACTACCCACTGCGTTAAGTCGTGACATGACTTTGGCTTTTGTTCATGCGTTCATAAGTATTATTTTGGGGAGATGTTGTTTCTAGCATGTTCTTAGTCTTCTTCTTCCTCCTCCTTTCAGGAAAATGTACAGATTTGTAATTCAATGAGATATGTACGACGCATGTGTTATCCGTGTGGATCCTTTGAGGAGGATTATTGAATTGCATCTTGTTCCAAGATTTTGGAAAAGCTGTCATGATTTATGGTGGATTGAGCAGGACCTTGTCAAACATTTGCGAAATTATTTGCATGATCGCGTATAATAAATTGTAAGCATTTGTTGGATTGCAATTGTTGGTTAATGTTTACATAAATTTGTCAAACTGAATCCCTTGTTTAAAAAAGTCGGTCAAATCCTGATGCCGTGTTCCTGTCTGGTGGGTGTCCGTGTCACTAATGCTATTCCCGATACATAAATACATACGTAATCACGGCATTATAATCATGCCTTAGTCCTAGCAGAGTGCTTAGTTAGGCCGATAATCATAATAAATAAGAAATAATGCGGAAATTGGATACCTATTTACAACAATGTGAACCCAGCTTCGTCAAAAACCTTGCGTTTCGTTTATGATTTTCTTGTCAAAGTCCTGATTTATCTGATTTATCGTGTGGTCATGACTTGACGGCACACCTTTAAACATGGAACGGAAAATAATAGTAAGCCAACCGAAGGGCAAAGGTCGATCGGTCACTCACTTTAATCATTATCATTATCCTCGTCCCAGGGAACATTAAATGTCATCGGGATAATAATTCCATTAATAAATCCAACTTATTAATTAATTTCTGAATAAATTTGAGACTAAAAAAATGATGTCTGATCCAATTTAGGCTCGAATTTAAGAATGTTTCGCCTTTTTTTGTACCCCAATAAAGTCACGACTACTCGATTAAGTCAGGCCAGGCTGTGGTCTTCGTGATCACAGAACGAGAGCAAGTTAAGAGATGCGATGCAATTTCTGACGAAACGCGACAAGGCGCTCTGTTGGGTGTTAAAAGCTCGTGATGAGGTTGGTTGTGGTGTGGGGGTGAGATCAGAGGTTCAATTAACTCACTCAAATGGATCGATTTCGTCGTCGTGATAATGCGATTTCAAATGAGGTGGTTGTGCCATCAAAGACAACATAATCATGTCGATGTATTGTAAAAACCTGTCATTTTGTATGGGGAGATATTTGCGATGATATAATCACATCAGCAATGGCAGATTTGATCTCATAGTGAAGAAAAATCTAAGATGGATAAATTTAGAAAAGGCGAGTAGTGATTAATTGAATCTTGAAAATTCTATTCCACAATTTTCGTTGCATAATGAAACAACCTCAGTCTCGTCAGTCGGTTGGTGGCAGATCTCATAAAATATTATTATTATTATTAGAAGAACGCAAAACATGACGGGGGCTGGTGAACCTTGAAATTTTTACGACTACAATTAATTTCGGGATGTTAATTATTATCTTTATTATTATATATTACGTGTGCTCCCTACCTGTATGGTTGGGTACCCTACTCGTGACAGAATTTTAAGGTGAGGTTCATCGGTTGTGTGGGTATGTATCTAATTATTAATTAGGAGACTGGCCAACCAACTACTGCGCGGTATGGAAATAGTAAAGTACATAAAAGTAAATGAGATGGAAAGCTAGAGCAGTAATAAAAAAAAGATGGCAACGAGAACAAAAATTAGCTCAAGAGCAATTTGTTAATTGTAGTAATGACTTAAAATTTTATGACATTTATTACCAGGAGTAGAGAGGTAGGTACTACTCCTGTATCAAGCAAAATATGTGAGATTGGTCTCTTACACAAGCAAAATATTACATTTTTTAGTGCAACGTGCACAAAAACTTTTAAAATTTTAAAGAATTGCATCTAATTAAAAGGATAGTATGTAACGCATGAGATGAGACGTCGGCTGCTGTCCATCGGTAGTGGCATTGTGAAACTAATTAGTGAAAAAGTGTAAGAAATTATCAAATGCGCTAATTACTCAAAAATATTAGTCACCTTGCGAAACAAATGTACATAAAGGAATCAAACTTGTCCATTTTTTCCATAAAATATAACAAAATTTTGAAACAATAAGTACAATATGTTCCATGGCAGGCAGCAGCAGTCAATCTGTCACGTCTCACTTGTCAGCACATCATTTATTTCATTAAAAATAATATAAATTTTTTCAGGTAATTAATCTCGCCGTGTCCCACACCACATATTTGTTTCTTCCACTCTTTTGACTCTTGTGCGTAATTTTTTTAGTAATGCAATGTCATTTTGCTGGTCTATTCTTCCATCTAATTATCACATTGCGTAGAATAATGAGGAGGAGTGGATAATAATAAAATTCGTTGCCATTCTGTTTTCACATCATTGCTCGCTTATTATTATCATTGTCGTAACAAAATTAACTTTGTCAAGGTTTTTGTGTACACACTTTTAACGTCAATAAGGCACAGATGATAAAGGACGAGACATTACCTGATTTCATATTCTGGACTCGTCGCCATTATGAAATGCTTGTGACTGACTTCGAACTTGAAAATTTAACGGCAACGAAAAAAAAAGTTGGATGGATGGATGATGGATTTCATGAAATGAAAACGATCCGACACATCTTCTTCACTTTCTTCAAGGTTAAAATGTGATATTTATCTAAAAGAATTGAGCAATTCCACAAAAGATTTTTCATGACGCAGACTTATTGAGCAATCGAGACTTGAGAAATCTCCAGCAGAATACTAATTCTTTTTATGAGATAAGATTTTACTTCATTTCGTGTGGAAAATTTAATTTATGCAAGTTTTTCCCAAATTATTTTAAATTAGGTGTCATTTAAATTTCAATCCGTCTGAAATAAATAAGTTATTTTTTTTTCACTTTTCTACGTATTTAATCCCAGATATTTTAAGCCACATTTTATACGTACGTTATCGATGATCAATCATTAACATAATTGCGCCAAGTTTTTCTTTCACTTTTTTCCACACCTGCGATGACCCCATTGCTAACAAAGTTGTTAAAAGAAACCCACGATTCTCATAAATTATCAGTTGATTCAGATAACAATAAAAGTTATCAATTAATTTCCCAATAATTAATACGAATTAGTATGCATCCCGTGATCGAGGGTCAATTATTTTATTCCACTGGGCTAAACTGTTGCTGATATGCAACATTTAAGATATTTTTTTCAAGTCAGGTTTTTTTATTATTGCGAAGGGGGGCGTGGTCCACTCGTCGAGGAAAAGCAAAGGGGTGGAATCCAAAGGTTTGGCGTACGTGCCATGAAAATGCAGTTTGACACACCCACAAACAAAGTGTGTACGATTCAGTAAGTTATTCAGTAGCAGTACGGGCATCGTTTATAAGCATTTTCCATCTTTCCATCCCTCGGGCTTATCTCTCTCATCGATAATGCAAGTAATAATAGTCCCTCTCTGAATACAAAAAGAGAGGAGATTGAGAAAAGAAACCCTGAATAGTATAAAATCACGGCTTGAATAAAAGTTGGAAAACTGGTGATGAATATCAATCAATGGAAGCTTAGGAGTATCTACAAAGTGCAATCTGCATGTTAATTGAATGCACTCGACTTTTTCATGTTTGAGTAATCAATCAGCATCAATATAGATATGATTGATAAATAATAATCGCTATTGTCGATCTCTGGTCGATACGATTTGTTGGTTATTGATTGATTATCATTACTCCTGGCTGGCTGCTGGGTTTGGGTGAGGTTCGTGTCCCTGTGGGGCG